CATTAAATACAAACAAACATAAATAAAACTTACAACAAAAACCATTAAAGGGACAATGTTTATTTTCACTTAAAAAACAAAAAAACACAATAAAAAAATCCACACAAAACCGGAAAGGGGAAAAGGGGTGTCTTTTCACATCCCCCAACCCACAAGAGATCCTACTAAATCTTTTCGACTATTACTTTATTAATCAACAATTACTCTATATACATCGGCCCGGTGTAAAATAAATATCATCATTTTAAACTCGAAAAACTTTTTTAATCAAAATTTAAAACCGTCAACTTTTTTAATCACATTTTAAACTCAGATCATACTGTTTAATCATCAATTTAAACTCAGAACATACTGTTTAATCAACAATTTAAACTCAGAACACTGTTTTTAATCATAAATTTTAAAAACTCGACATACAGTTTTCAAAACTTCCAAATTTATTTAAAATTTTACTAAAAAATGAAAAAATTTGGGGGATCCCCTTGAGTTTTTTTTCTTTCAGCCAATTTTCCCACATAATTTTTTTTTCATGTACGTCAACAATAGCTAAAAAATTTTGGGGAAAAAAGTACGGAAGACACAGGGAAAAATTTCCTGGCAACATTTTGTTTTGGGGCTGGAGAAGTCACCGGGAACTGTTACATGTGTGAAAAATGAAGAGGGTGGGGGGGCAGTGGGGTCTTTTCCAGTCGAAGGCTTTTGAGGAGATGAGATCATATGATATGATAGAGAGAATCTACAAACTGAGCTTCTAAGTTGCATAAATTATTTAATTGGAATGTTTGAGAACTGAAATTTGAAAGACAATATTCCCTTTTTGCAAATTTTTTTTTAATCCCCCAACCAAAAGGAATCCAGTTTTCTGGGAAATAAATTTTAAAGGGGGTATTATGGGTTGGGGTTTAGGGTTTGGGGCTTTGTCGCCCCACTGCACGAAACCTGACAACCCCTAACCCTACTCCTAACTCTAACCCAAACTCTAACCTGAACCCCCCCTAAACCCCCAAACCCCCCAAACATAAAAAACCCTAAAATTGACTCTCCCCGGGAAATCTGGATTTCCCTTTGGTGAATTAAAAAAAAGTATGTGCATTCTTTGCCATCTTACCCAAAAAAACATAAAAATGGAAAACAACATTGGGGCTTTGGGTTGAAAGCACACGCCGGACTACCCCTTGAAAACCTGGGTTAAAACACTTTAATGTCTTTTATAATTAAAGTAAAAGGGGAAATTTTCCGGCCTTTTAGGTAATTTAGTATATAGGGTAGAATTTTTATGACCACGGGACAAGATGGGGGTTTTGGTAGTCCTCTGGCCCCCTTTCTTTTCCAAAGTACCTGGACCCCCTCCGGCGGTCCGACTGGGGAGCCAAGGTCGTTTTAAAAAAAAAGTCTGGTGCAGCCAGGGAGCGAACCCACAACCTTTCAATTAGTAGGCGAGCGTCTAGCCACTAAACTACTTCGAATCCCATACATACATAAATATATATATTTTGTTATTTTAATTAGTTCTAGTTTTCAACTGCTTTGAGCCAAGACAAGTGTTGTTCTCTTTTGTTTTAGTGTTTACCTGCCTTAAGCCCAGACAAGTTCTATTTTAACTTGCTCTAGTTTTCAACTACTTTTGAGCCCAGTCAAGTGTTTTTTTTTCTTTTGTTCTAGTGTTTAACTGCTTCAAGCCCAGACAAGTTTTATTTGAATTTGTTTCAGTTTTAAACTGCTTCAAGCATAGACAAGTGTTATTTTCATTTGTTTCAGTTTTAAACTGCTTCAAGCCCAGACAAGTGTTATTTTCATTTGTTTCAGTTTTAAACTGCTTCAAGCATAGACAAGTGTTATTTTCATTTGTTTCAGTTTTAAACTGCTTCAAGCATAGACAAGTGTTATTTTAATTTGTTTCAGTTTTAAACTGCTTCAAGCATAGACAAGTTTTATTTGAATTTGTTTTATTCCGCAAAAGCTTTTACTTTAACTACTGAATTTTCATTTCTATGAGGGCTAAAATAAAATCACTTTAAGAGAAGGAGAGATAAAGCAAAAAAACGAAGCAGTGTGGGTTACTGTAACAATGTGACTGGGCCCAAGGCCTGATGAGAAAAATAGTTACTAAGTAAAATCCACTTAGTTTAGCGACATCGCTGTTTCTTTTTTATAGCAGTGCGGGCTGTAAGCTCTGGAGGAAAGTTTTGGTTGCTTTTTCTGAATGATAGTCTTGTTCAAGATCTTGAGTTTTGCAAGCAAAAATTTGAAGAACAACCAAAACTTTATACGGAGTTTACATCCTGTGGAAGCGAAGAAGAAGAGGAAGAAGATGCAAATATAAGTCCATCATCATTTAGCCAAAGGCACCACTGACTGCACAAAAGTCCTTTACTTGCTAATTTTCTTACTAACTGAAGGCATGACAGAAATTAATTTGCAATGTCACCAATAATACAGTCTAGGTTTTAGGAAAGCTGACCACATTGTCATAAAACATGAATTATTAACATTGTAGCTGCTATGTTAAGAAAGCTTACAGGTCTAATCCACCTGACTTGCAAAAGCTTTAGATGAATTGAATGTTTCAGCGGTTGAACTTTATTTGTTGTAAGGCATTTCCAATAAGGTGCATGAACTCAGCTCATCGAACTTGTATGGATATCTGCAATTTAAATGATGCATCCAAATCAAATCAAACATGAAGGAGTAAATAAAATACATGGGTAAACATATGAGCAATTATTTAAATTATAAAAACGAATGTGCACGTAATACTCAGATTTTTTAACAAGACTAAAGTTTAGAAGCTAGGACTGAAACCAGTCATACAATTCTTTAAAGAACATAAAATGGATGGTTTGGCCACCTGATAAGAATGCCCTGGTACTAACTACCAACCACAGAAAGCCACGCTCAAGAAATATAATGAGCACAGAGCAAGGGGAAGACCACGCAAGATATGGAGCGACACCATCAGCACTAATAAAATAGACAGGAACACCAACCTGTAAAATGCATTAGAAAAGGTGCACAAACGATCCTTACATCTCCCCCCTACCCCTCGCTGAGGTAAATGGTGGAAGAAAAGAAGAAGAAGAAGAAGAAGAAGAAGAGCGCAAAAATAAAAAGATATTATAATGGTCAATACTAGTGGATTTTTACAATATATATATCATTATTAGACTATCTTATCTTTAGCATGCTCACTGCAACATAGTACTTAAAAAATTCACTGCAAGTAAAAATAGATGTGGTAATATAAACATGATTATTTAAAAACAAACAGCAACTAATAACTTATTCTTGAACAAAATAATCTCAATTATTAACAAACATTTGATAACTCGTGCTTGAATATAATTGTAACAACTAAACAATCTATAACTTACACTTCAACATGATACTGACAACAAACAATTTACAATTCACATCTGAACAAAATTGTGACAAACAATAAATGACTTTTAATTGAATAGACTGCATTCCCTTGGTATACCAACTGGAGCTGCGAGACAGGGAAACTATGCTGGAGTCACCTGTTGTTACATCAACTAAAACAGAACGGGTTGTGAGCCTAAAAAACACTTAGAGACATATTCAGCAGGAGATCAGAGCACTTATGGTCACGTCCGATGTGATCTCAAAAGTTAAGAAAGAACAATGTGACAAACAAACAAGATATAAATCACACTTGAACAAGATTGTGACTAACAAACATGAACAAAACACAATGAAAAACTCACACTCTGAATGAGAACCCAGGTCTCGGACTGTGCATGTATATGTATACGAAGCACCCATATTTTTCCAGCTTCCTCTGAAACATTAAATGATGCTATCCCAGCCTTGTCAAACTCGCTGACACCGAAGAATGTGTCATTTGTTGACATCTTGTATAAATCAGGGTTGCTACTTTGTCTCTCCTCATATGCCAACTTTTGCTGTGGTGTATTCTTTGGCTCTAGCATCTTTCTAAAAATCTGTGAAGGCTTCGGTGGCATTTCAACTGGGAGGATTTCAAGAGTTGCATTTCGTAAAATATCGCTTGGGTGTTCTTTACTTCCAGTCACAATATGAACCCTTCAGGAAAAAAAACAATGTTTAGGTTTAATCTTAATGTTACGCCACAGATGATAAATATTCATTCATTCATTCATTCATTCATTCGTTCATTCATTGTCCAATTGTGCTATTTTATGTCACATATGTAAAAAAAAAAAAAAGCAAAGGACCATTGTCCATGCCTTTAGGGGTAAAGGGGATATAGGGCTAGACCTATATTTTTATAGACCAGTCGGCACAATATGGGTGATGTGGTCAGCATCACGCCGGCCACCTTTACTTTCCCGGGACTGCACCCGTTATCCACTCAAGGCTGGGTCGACCTGGGAGCCAAGGTAATTTTTGAAAAAAAGTTCGGCTCCACCAGGGAGCGAACCCACGACCTTCCGATCTGCAACGAGCGTCTAGCCGCTCGGCCACGGCGACTGATGTCACATAGGGCTTACAGTCCATTCCTCCATTCCATTTAATCCTGTGCAATCACTATAAAATTATGGATGGAATCCAGTCCAGTACTTGTGGCTTCTCCCATCAATGTTTTGCTTTAGGGTTTCTCTGTGATGTCCTCCTTTCCTTAATCACTCAGTTCCCATTTCACTGCCTGTTTGATAATTTTTCTCTGTCTCTTCTTAGAATGTGTCCAATACCCCACAATCTTCTTTATCTTGTCTCCTTTCGTCAATCACTTAGTTTCCATTTTACTGGCTGTTTAATAATCTTTTTGTGTCTCTTCTTAGAATGTGTCCAATATAGCACACTCTTCTCTATCTTGCCTCCTTTCCTCAATCACTCAGTTTCCATTTCACTGCCTGTTTAATAATTCTTCTCTGTCTCTTTTAAGAATGTGTCCAACATAGCACCATCTTCTCTATCTTGTAACTGCAAATACAAGTGGTTACCCAGACATTTCCCTTATTTTCTTTTTTTTTTACCTCCTCTTGAATTCATCCTATATTATGTTCATCATTTTCCTCAGGCATTTAATTTGAAAGACACGCGTCTTTCATTCCATATCTTTAGATGAGAAATATGCAATATTTAAAATGTAGAAACCGCGAAAGCGTAATGACTAGATGTTTACCTGCCAGCTCAAACGTCTTGAGTTCGATTTTTTTTTTTATTGAAAATTATCCTAGCCTCTAGACTGACTCAGCCTAAACTGGGTACCAGGTAATGTCATGGAAAGTAAAGGTGGCCGGCATGGTGTTGACCACACCACCCACTGAGTGCCGACTAGTCTATGAACATGTGAGCCTAGTATCTTATACCTGATGCGTCACTGACATTAAAAAGGAAAATAAAGTAAAAGGAATCTTGTCCAAGTCTTCAGGCTAGATCTATACTGTAGAGATTCAGTGGGTGATATGCCTATTTATGGCTTTGTGACCCTGGAAGCCATTGTCACTTTTTAAAAAATGTCTGGCTCCATTCGGATTTGAACCCACAACCTTCAGATCCACAGGCGAGCACATAGTCGCTACATCACGGTGGTTTCCTTTACCTACATACTTAAAGTAAAAGTATTGACACTGCAATACACTAAGTCAGTGGTTCTCAACCTTCCTAATGCCGCGACCCATTCATAGAGTTCTTCATGTTGTGTCGACCCATTCAAACAGTTTTTCATGTTGTGGCTACCCATTCATACAGTTTTTCATGTTGTGGCTACCCATTCATACAGTTCTTCATGTTGTGGCGACCCATTCATACAGTTCTTCATGTTGTGACGACCCATCCATACAGTTCTTCATGTTGTGGCGACCCATTCATACAGTTCTTCATGTTGTGACGACCCATCCATACAGTTCTTCATGTTGTGGCGACCCATTCATACAGTTCTTCATGTTGTGGCGACCCATTCATATATTTCTTCATGTTGTGGTGACCCATTCATACAGTTCTTCATGTTGTGGCGATCCCCCCCCCCCCCTCCCCAACATATAATCATTTTCTCTACTGCTTCATAACCTCAATGAATATGTGCTTTCCGATGGTCTTTTGTGACCCCTGTGAAAGAGTCCTTAGACCCAAAAAGACTCGCGACCCACAGGTTGAGAACCACTGCAGTAGGGTATCATGAAAGGTGATTATCAATGTGTGGGTTTTGGAGAACTATTTTGGAAAAGGGGGGGGGGGGGGGTGGTCCCCTGGGGGGGGGGGGGGGGGGGGGGGGGTGGGGGGGGGGGGGGGGGGGGGGGGTGAGAGTGGACTCTACTGTTCCCTTACAAGCATGTGATGAATGTGACTAATCAGGGCTGTTTCTTTCATAGTCAGGGTGCATCTACCAGAGCGGCAAGGAACCAACAGTTTACATAATTAAACATGTTTTCCAGGTTGTCCCAGCTAAAATATAGTATCATGAAACGATCTGGTAAGTAAGGGTCTCCGGTGTGATGTTTACTACATACCCCATTAAGCACTGATTGGTGTATACATTTGTAGGACTAGAATCATGTGCCTGGTGTGAACAGGGCTGCCGAAATTGGTACTTTCCTTTAAATCTGGTACTGTTTGACCCTTGTCAAGCAAATCTGTACTTTTGGTACTGATAATTTGGTTCGTTTTAAAGATTGTGCATCAAAATTTTGCATTACTTTCAACCTGTAAAACAATGTATTGGGAATGTAGGAAAAATGCAGTTTCTAATAAAAATGTACCATTCTTCGTAACCGGTGCTTATACAAATGTACCATTCTTCGTAACCGGTGCTTATACAAATGTACCATTCTTCGTAACTGGTGCTAATACAAATGTACCATTCTTCGTAACTGGTCAAGTGCTGTTGTGTTTAATTTTTAAATGCCAATGTAGGAGTGTCCGTCTAGGCAACTGACGGATGGTATCCTTTCGTTGTCTTTTATCGCAGTTCAACATTCCAGTTTATTTGATGATGAAGCCTTTTCTTTCTGTTTCAGTTTTATTTTGAAGTATTTTGCCACATTCTCTTGTTGAATCCAGTTGTGTGTATGTATGTATGTATACCTACGTACATACATACATACATGCATATGTATTTACATACATATGTATTTACATACATACATATGTAGGTACGTACGTAAGTACATATATATGTATGTACATGTGTATGTACATAAGTACATATGTATGTATATACATGTGTGTGTGTGTGTAAAGTCGTTTTAACGTATATGTGTTTTAAAAAATCATTTATTTGGTTCCCTTTGCTGTGTTTTGGTACAATGAAGAATCTGGTACTATTCCTTCTTTCCCTGCCATGGGTGTGAATCAGTCCTTCAGTTTATGTACCCCCATTTGCAATATAAGCATGCAGTAAAGATTTCACATTAAAGGAGAATACTTACTTGGATAACGCCACAGGAGAGTCAAATAAAAAGTCTATCAAATCCCCTTCTTTTGGATTGCCTCCCCAGAAGAAGCCCTGGCCATCATAGGCAGAATAGATATCATATTTTGAGTATGTCTGAAGTGTTGTGATGATGCTGTCTACCGGCGGATTGGATGTTATATCTGGTGACCGATTTCCAAATTCTTTATCCTAGTTCCAAAAAAAAAAAAAAAAAAAAAAAAAAATTAAGACGAATAGACCCCCCAACCAGCTTGTTGTAGGAGTCGACTAATCTGATGCATTTTCCAAAGTCAGAGTGCATCTGCCCGAGCCGCAAGGAACTAACAGTCTGCATACAAATAAGCCAGATATGTAAAAAAGATGTGCAAGCAAAACACAGGTTTTGGAACAAGAGTAAAACCAGAAGTGGGCGAACAAAAGGAACTCTGGGCCAGTGAAAACAAAGAAGAATAAGATATCCTGTTTAAAGACATCCTTGTATTGCATCTGGTAAATTCCATTTGGCCTCTTGCCTGTTGCTAGTTCTCAGTAAAGAAAATCTGTGGGACGACGACCTATTCGATTCGAGATAAATGACCCTACCACCGAAGCCATCTCTGCCTGAAGAAGGTGTGCACAGCGATAATATATACTCTTTCAAGCACTTGTTTTAGTGTTCTATGATGCTTCCGTGATATGTCCAGGATTCGTCTCGGGCATCTCATGTGGAAGGTATTCAACTTTCCTGACATGAGTACAAGGTCCAGGATTCAGACCCATACAACATGATGCACTAAATGTGCTCATAAGTCGTGTACCCAAAAACAAACTTTAGAGACCTAACTTATGCTTGCTCAGTAATATGTACCTGGAGCAGAGACACAGCAATTAAATATGTTAATTATTATCATTAGTCTCCTCCTCCTCCTTCTCCTCCTCCTTCTTCTCCTCCTTCTTCTCCTCCTTCTTCTCCTCCTCCTTCTTCTCCTCCTCCCACTCCTTCTCCTCCTCCTTCTCCTTCTCCTCCTTCTGCTGCTGCTGCTGCTGCTTCTTCTTCTTCTTCTTCTTCTTCTTCTTCTTCTTCTTCTGCCTTCTTCCTTAACAGAGTAGTTGGTAGGTTGTGTTGTGCTTTACAGCTATGATGCCATATCTGTGATGTTCAATCGATAGCAAATGTTTGTCTGAACACATATGTTCTCATGTAGCTGTTATAATAATCTATGCCTGCCATTCACGACTGAATACTGCAGGAGACACGTTCTTTGTATATCATAGCGAGCCAATGAAGCACAGAAAAAAATCCTACATTACATGACCAATTCCCCCCCCCCCCCCCCCCTCTTTTAAAAAAATACATTTTAAGACTGGCAGGAATGTCAGCACGTTTCGACATAAAGATCCCTGATATTCTAAGGCATTTCTGTGACATCTAAGTTGGAAAAAACAAACCGTTTTCTGGTTTATCAGTTCTCACACCCGTATTTTGCAGCAGTAAAGATATGTTTCAACACACACACACACATACATACACACACACACGTACGCATGCATAAACGCACACGTGCGCGCACACAGACACACATAAATAAACTGAATACAAAACATACCTTGAGTTTATTAATATGGCCTCCTAACGATGATCTTAACCCTTCGTGTTGAAACAATGAAGGCCTTATAGACCGGGCAACCTTGTGAACTTTTTGCATGCATTTTGACTGTAGAACAATGAACATTTGTAAGTATATGGCTCGGAAATTTCCGTTTCATACTTACATAAGCATAATTCTGGTAGTAAAGTAAACAGTCAAAGAATGATGTAAGTCAATTCTTGTTCTCCCTTTTCTAGTTCTGCTCTTGCTTCTACGGCATGCATGTCATAACATTAAGAGCACTTAAGTCACATCTAGATTCACAAACCTATAGTTTCATGATGGAGGAAAGAAAGAGTGGCCTTCATCACTCGCAATGGACGAACAACAACAGATCTACTGCTCCTTAACACTGTTCATTGTTTGTTTAAAGATCATCATCACACATCGGACATGACCGTAAGTGCCTCGATCTCCTCCTGAGTATGTCTCCTAAAGTTTTTAGGCTAACAACTCCCATTCTCTTCTGGCTGATGTAACGACAGGTGGCCCCCACATGATTTTCCTGTCTCACTGCTCCAACTGGTGCACCCAGGGTATGCAATCTGTTTAGTGAAATATAATTTTCCACAAAACTGAAAGCCTCACATCGTTTAGTCTCCACTATGGCATTGGAGATGTCTCTGCTATCCATAGATAGCCTGTTCCTGATAGTCGTACTGCCAGCCAGTGCATCTGCTCTTTCACTGTCTTTCACACCAGCATTTCCTGTGACAAAAATGAAGTGATTTTGCGTGCTCCTTTACAAGCATGTAGTAACAGATGGAATAATTAGGAGTGCTCAGATTGGATGTGTTGGACCAAATGGTGCAGATAGCGCAGGCCACCTGTAAACCACAACAGACAGTGTCAACTACACTTTTAAGGAAAAACATAGAAAACGAAGAATTCCTGGTATCACATTAGACTGCGCTGACATCTAAGCCCATTTGGTTTTTTTTTTTAAAAAAACAGAAATTTTAGAGTAAATGGAGTTTCGAACGTATGACTTCTGAACAGACATAGAAGCATGCTTTATCTGCATCTGTTTTTGGCTTATCGTCTAAAGCCCATATACGCAATCATCAGTTGAGAGATGAGATGCCTGAGAAAAGCCACCAGATTAACCATCCGAGAACGAGCCAATAATCAGACAGATAGTGGGAATGACACCTTGTTCTAGATTTATCAAGACACCGCAGGTCATGTGTTCTAGCCATTTCGCTAGAATGAGGTAACAGGGGCTCTATTGTGGAGGAAAAAAGAATAGACCCACTCCCTCCCCCAACCCTACAAGTATCGTACGAGTCGACGAATTGGGGGTTCATTGAAAATGGGAGCGCATCTGCCTAAGAGGCAGGGCACCTGCAATCAGCACTCAAATAAGTCAGATCTTGATGTGCAGGCAACACTCAAGTTATGAAAGAAGACTAAGTCTAGAGGCAGGCGGACAAACTTTCAGTCTGAGTTTACAGCAGGTGAACGCGCAGAAGAAGAAGAAGAAGTAGTAGAAGAAGAAGAAGAAGAAGAAGAAGAAGAAAAAGAAGAAGAAGAAGAAAAAGAAGAAGAAGAAGAAGATATTCTTATATGAGGGACTTGAGTGATGCAGGCCTGTTGGACAGACTGCTGGTTTTAACCAGAGCATTAGGACAGATTCAGTTCCACAAGAGTGGATGCGCAACTACTTGATTCCACTTCTTAAGTCTGACAAGGATCATTCAACACTCAGCGGCTTTAGGATCATAACCTTACAAAACACTTTTGGCAAAATGCTGGAGAAGATAGTGGCAGGTAAGCTACAAGAATTTTTTGCACAGAGAAAGCTCCTTCCAGGAGGTTTGGGTAGTTACCGGCCAGGGAAGGATACATGGTCAAACGCAGCCACTTTTGCCTTTGACGCCTTTGAAGGTTTCAAGAACAGGCAGAAAACGGTGGTAACAGCATTTGGTTAAGAATTTGCTTACAACAGAGTCAGATTTAAAATCTCGATGACAGCGCTTATGGAGAAGGGAGTCTGTCCTTGGTTGGTGAACTGGTGACTTGAAGCTCCGGGAAAAGCCAATGGGAAATCTTTAGTGCAGGACAGCCAGGCATATGATACCCCAACATCAAGCATGAGAATGAAGGTGGAGGTGGTCACTGCAGTTTGCAGTTGGCTAGAGAACAAGATACATACACATGTCGTAATTGTAACGGACTCTGAAAAAATGCTGAAAAAGGTGAAGACAGGAATACTTCGAGCAGAGTGGCAAGCTTCACTGGAAAGGACATGGGTAGTGAGCATGCTTTGGATCTTTTCTCTACCGGCAGACAGATTGGCTGGATCTGCACCGCTGGGAGGTGAATTGATACATGACAAGGCAGATGTGGTTAGAGCCCTTTGAGAACACGTAACAAAGTCAGAAGAGAAACTAGACTATTATGGGTTGGAGAGAATGATGCACCTAAGTGTGACCAGAGGGTTCGGCCGATACACTACGCTCAGAGGAAAGGCAGTATGGTTATACAATCAGACTATGACCGGAACCATTTGTATTGGAACTCAGCGCTGGCTGCTGAGGATGGGGACGAGTGCATATGGAATGACATCAGCTATCGCTGCTTATCAGGCGATGGATTGCAAACTTCCGTCTCCCCCCCCCCCCCCCTTTTACAGTTTGACTAATTAATTCTTAATGACCACCGATAAATTTGAGGGGGTTAGGGATAGGGTTAGGGGTAGCGGTAGGGTTAGGGTTAGGGGTACGGTTAGGGTTAGGGCTAGGGTTAGATGTGACAATTTTGACGCAGGAGTTCTAAATAATCGCGCACATACACACCCAAACAATCGAAGGACTGTGGATGCTACTCAAATGGACAATTCGCCACCGATGGGGCACCAGCCACGCGCTAGTGCCGTCATATTTGGAGAAGAAAAAAAAAGAAGAAGAAGTAGAAGAAGAAGAAGAAGAAGAAGAAGAAGAAGAAGAAGAAGAAGAAGAAGAAGAAGAACAAGGAGAAGAAGAAGAAGAAGAAGAAGAAGAAAAAGAAGAAGAAGAAGAAGAAGAAGAAGAAGTAGAAGAAAAGGAAGGATGAGGAGAAGACAAAGGAGGAGGAGGAGAAGAGGAAGAAAAAGAAGACGAAAGTTTTACTACTATATGATTGCATTACTACCCTTCAACCCCCTCCCCACCCCATCCCCCAACATTTTTGTTTAAAAATCTCTGGAACCACACCTCAAAATGATGCCTCCCAAAAAAAGTGTTGGTACTGCACACCGTTGCCTACTGAAAAAAATCCCCTGCTTATTACTACCAATTACAGGTCAATTGGAGCATTCTGATGTGGGTACAGAGAAGCATGGTCATCCATTTCGGGTGGTAAGGTACTCTAAAAGATACTGTACAGTTTACTTGAACTATCATTTAAAAAACGTTTTAGTATCTGAAACTCTAAATGGGAGATAACTAAGATAGCATTTAATGTACATTTTTTGCAGTGGTAGCAGTCCTTAGAGAAGCCAGATTTTTTTGTAAGTACCCTTTTCCACACCTTCAAGCGTATTAGGCATATATAGCTAGACCTATAGTTCATAGACCGGTAGGCACGTGATAGCTGATGTTTTCAGTATCACGCCGGCCACCTTTACTTCCCAGGACTTTACCTGGTACCCACTTAAGACTGGATGGACCTGAGAGTGAAAGTCATTTACAAAAATGCCCTGCTCCGTCAGGACACGAATTCATGACCTTCTGATTGGCAGGAGGGCGTCTAGCTGCTACACCACTGCGGCTTCCAGATTTTCTGAGTATATTTTGACAAAACAAAGAAGCCTGATAGAGCAACGGTAGCAATGGTAGCGCATCAGCTGCCAAGGGATCTATAAAACTATGGGTCTAACAATCCTCCCTCATGTCAACGGCATGGAAATGATCCTTTACTAACTAACTACTACTACTACTATCACCACCACTACCACCACCACCACCACTTCTATTACCTCCTCCTCTTCTTCTTCTTCTTCTTCTTCTTCTTCTTTTTCTTCTTCTTTTTAGCCTTCACCGGCTGTCAACTGCAAAGGAACGTTTTGATTGTTTGTCCATTTCTGGCCAGCAGTCTTATTCTAGAATAACATTTGTTTGACAGATCTGGCTTATCTGCGTGCAGATTAATTGTTCCTTGCGTCTTAGTAAGACGCACTCTGACTTTAAACAAAATATTCCTAAATAGTCATCTTTTACGACATTCGTAACACCTCTTGCGTTGATGGGGATATTGATGGGGACAGACATGCTTACCTATTTCTCGTCATGGCCATGCATTTTCAATTACAGGTAATCACCACATGCTTACCCATTTCTCGCCATGGCCACACATTTTCACCTGCAGGTAATCATCACATGCTTACCCATTTCTCGCCCTAGCCACGCATTTTAAATTACAGGTAATCACCACATGCTTACCCATTTCTCGCCATGGCCACACATTTTCACCTGCAGGTAATCATCACATGCTTACCCATTTCTCGCCATGGCCACACATTTTCACCTGCAGGTAATGATCACATGCTTACCCATTTCTCGCCATGGCCACACATTTTCACCTGCAGGTAATGATCACGTGCTTACCCATTTCTCGCCATGGCCACATTTTTTCACCTGCAGGTAATGATCACATGCTTACCCATTTCTCCCCACGGCCACACATTTTTACCTGCAGGTAATGATCACGTGCTTACCCATTTCTCGCCATGGCCACACATGGCCAGGGAATGATTACCCATTTTCACCCGCGGGCTACACAATGCTTACCCATTTCTGCCAGGTAATTTTCCATAGGTAATGAATCACATGCTTACCCATTTCTCGCCCATGGCCACACATTTTCACTGCGCCATGGATCACACTTACCCATTTCTCCCCATGGCCACACATTTTCAATCATCGTACAACCCAGTCACCTGCAAGGTTGATTACTGGAGTAATGGCCACACATTTTCACAGGTAATGATCACATGCTTACCCATTTCCTCCCCATGAATTTTCACCTGCAGGGTAATGATCACATGCTTACCCATTTCTCGCCATGGCCACACATTTTCACCTGCAGGTAATGATCACATGCTACCCATTTCTCGCCATGGCCACACATTTTCACCTGCAGGTAATGATAACATGCTTACCTTTTCTCGCCATGGCCACACATTTTCACCTGCAGGCAATGATCACCCATTTCTTTTTGCTCCCCATTGGCCACACATTTCACTCTGCAGGTAGATAGATGTACACATGCTTACCCATTTCTCGCCATGGCCACACATTTTTCACCTGCAGGTATGATCACATGACCATTTCTCCCCATGGCCACACATTTCATCTGCAGGTAATGATCACATGCTTACCCATTTCTCCCCATGGCCACACATTTTCACCTGCAGGTAATGATCACATGACTTACCCCATTTCTCCCCATGGCCACACATTTTCACCTGCAGGTAATGATCACCAGCTTACCCATTTCTCGCCATGGCCACACATTTTCACCTGCAGGTAATGATCACATGCTTACCCATTTCTCGCCATGGCCACACATTTTCACCATGACAGGTAATGATCACATGCTTATGGCCACGACATTTCCACCTGCAGGTAATGATCACATGCTTACCCATTTTCCCCATGGCCACACATTTTTCACCTGCAGGTAATGATCACATGCTTACCATTTCTCCCCATGGCCACAACATTTTTCACATTACCATTCTCCCCATGGCCACACATTTTCACCTGCAGGTATAAATGATCACATGCTTACCCATTTCTCGCCATGGCCACACATTTTCACCTGGGTAATAATGATCACATGTCTTACCCATTTATCTCTCGCCATGGCCACGCATTTTCACCTGCAGGTAATGATAAAATGCTTACCATTTCTCCCATGGCACGCATTTTTCACCTGCAGGTAATGATCACATGCTTACCCATTTCTCCCCATGGCCACACATTTTCACCTGCAGGTAATGATCACATGCTTACTTTTCTCCCCATGATTTTCACCTGTGGTAATGATCACGTGCTTACCATTTCTCCCCATGGCACACATTTCACAAATCCATTTCTCGCCATGGCCACACATTTTCACCTGCAGGTAATGATCACATGCTTACCCATTTCTCCCCATGGCCACACATTTTCACCTGCAGGTAATGATCACATGCTTACCCATTTCTCGCCATGGCCACACATTTTCACCTGCAGGTAATGATCACATGCTTACCCATTTCTCGCCATGGCCACACATTTTCACCTGCAGGTAATCATCGTACAACCAGTCGCAAGGTTTACTGGAGTAAAACATCAGCAAAAACTCCATCATCTTGACAGTGTCCTCAGATTTAAACAGTCGACCTGGGGAAGTACACAGCAAATCATACGGTTTGCTCACTTAGATAGAATGTTATGTGATGCCATACAGTGCAAAGCATACATCAAAAGAGAAGAATAACGTAGAACATGAGGTAGACCAAGAACAATTGGAAAGATAACATTAGACAAATTCTTTAACAACACAATGTGTAAATTGTCAAGACACATGAAGAGGTGAAAAAGGAAGAAAAGAAGACCTGGGGGAAGTCCAGTATAAGTCAGAAACAGATCCATACGTATGTATCGTAAATCAGTACTGTGATGTGAACAAATCCACAGCCTGAGCAAATTAGAAGGCGCCAAACTGGACTACAGGTCACTTTGTAACTAAGGTGAGTTGGGTTGATTCAAGAACCCACATAACAGCACTCTGGGCGTTCCCATAAGCGATCAGTCCCCATCTGCAGCAGCCAGTAAAGAGTTCTGATACTTATGGTGCCAGTAGCATTCTGACTAAACATCCGTCTTGCATTTCCTCTGAGCCTCGAGCATCTGCCAGAACTCCCCGTTGCATCAGTCTCACCAGAATGTGGTGATACAGCTGCTCCTCCGAACTGTACACACTCTCCCACAAGGCCCTAACCACGTCAGCCTTATCATGCATCAGTATTCCACCAAGCTGTGCTCCTCTATGGAACTTATGAAACGTATTCCACTTCGTACCTATGAGACCCACTAATGTACCTATGCTGTGAGACTGAAAGGGCTTTCCCGAATCTGTGCCAGACCCAACTAGTGACACTCGGAATCATTTGATGTTATGTTATCACAATCGACGTCAATGCACTTTGGGCTTTTCCATGCGTGCTCAGTTCTCTGATGCAGCAGCCACTCCCAGGTACCTCTACTGGTTGTTCCCATGATAAGCTGGTTGTAGCATCTCCTGTCCTGCATCAGAGACAGCATAGACATGCTTCATCTAGCTTTACTCCCAGGTCAAGCAATCGTTTTAGCGTAAGAGATTCAACCTTATACCTAAATCTTGTCCACACAGTGTTCAGAATATCATCTCTGACCTAAAAACACTTTGTGACAACAATGGGAAAGACAAGGCCAACCAGAACCTATCTAGGTCCCCGTTTTTATAAAACCAGTTGGCATTTCATTCCAAATCTCAAAAAGTTCTTTAACGCTCCAGTGTCGTTGACCGTTTAAACTCAAACGAAATCGAAGCTTAGATCACTGGCATCATGGGGTTAACAGACTGAAATTGGTGGGGCATATTGAGAGAATGTCAGATGACAGGTTCAAACTAGGTACACAAAGCAGTTGAATGACTGTAGACCACGAGGCAGACCAAGAAATGTTGGAGAGATAACATCTAGGCAGACCTAAAAACACTTTGTGACAACAATGGGAAAGACAAGGCCAACCAGAAAGATTTACAGAAGCGGGTGATGTCTGCAGTCATAAACCTCACAGGCTAAGAATGCTGAAGAAGAAGAAGAATCGGCACATGATGGACTGTGTAGTTGGTGTTATTTTACTTTCCAGGAGATTTCCAGAAAGCCATTTTAATCTAGGCCAACCTGGAATTTTTTTTTTTTAAATCAGCTACGGTGCAGATTCGAATACGAGGCCTTCAAAAAATAAATATCTGTTTTACCATACACTGAACAAGCTAATGCTGAAACCGGCTGAAGCTTTAACAATAATAATTGACAACTCTCTCTTACGTAAATAGAAGCAATTCAGTATAAATTTGAAGCTACCCTGGTAAGTCATGCGACTTTTGAGAACTTCAGACGAATAGACTAACAATATAAAGAGCACACCATTTGTATTTCAGTGGAATTAATCCAGTTGCCGTGCTTCATGAAAGGTTGATGTAACTATGTAATAATGCACATGACAAGATACATCACAAGATGCCTGACAATAAATTGTGCAATGTGGTTGCATCCAACAAATGTCTTACCTATGTAACCCAAAGTTGAAAATTCAATCGAGAACCAAGGCCAGTAAGTCTTTGCTATTGCCTCTTTCATTGAAGTAATGTAGCCAGGGACTGCTCTAATGTCGTCTTCAAGCTGCAAGTAATTATTCATATATCTAAACAGTCAGTTATACGGTAAAGTCAATGATTAATATTGTTTGTTTCTGAATTATTTACCACATACTGGTTAGAAGTTTACTAAGACTAGTCAAGGTTGTACCGATAAAGTTGAACTCTGTTGTTTTATGTAAACAAAAAGATCACATTATAAATTTGAAGTCGTCAAGCTAAACTATTGGCTGATCTTTAATTTCAGGTGGATATATGTAGTTGTGCAGCTTAGGCATTGGGAGTCCGACTCGTAATTCCAAAGTACCGTGATTGAAACCCACTGCTGGCTGCGTGGATTTTCATCATGGTATGGGGCGTCACAGGTCGACCCAGCCTAAAATGGGTACCAGGATGGCTGTCCTAGGGGAGTAAAGACGGCTGGTGTAATGCTGACCACATTACCCACCCAGTGCCGACTAATATGGAAAAATATAGTTGCTCTTCCCATATGCCCAATGCGCCTAAGGCGTGAAAAGGGATCTTTACTTTACTTACTTATATGTAGTCGTACTTGACAATGCAGTTTCTGTATGTTGGTGAAAAGTCTTAATTTTTGGGCTTCATTGTATGTTGATTGAACTCTGAAATAATGTACCTGACAAGTCACAGAGCACTATGTCTGGCAATAAAATGTGCATTGTATTGTTTGTGTCCACATTATATATATTGACAATAGGAAAACACTGTTTTGATGATTAATATGACACTGATAGGGATGATTATGACAGTAATTATAACAATATGAACGCAAGGTGACAATGCAAAGAAACAGAGGTAGCAGAACAAGAAGCAAATGAGAAGAAATGTTGCTTCATAGTTTCTGCTTTGATGCCTTCAAACTTGAACTAATTATTCATCTCTTGATCTCATCTAATCTTGATCCTCTTGCACCTTGAGGTGTTGAGATGAAATATAATTTACAGGAAAGAACTTGTTTGTGTGCTTCATAAATTAGAATCCATGGAACTGTAATCCCCTTCTGTCCTTGGCGTGCATGCCAGCCTCTTCTTTCCTTCCCGCCTGATTTGTACATCACTGCCTCCTGTTGTATACTGTCTGCTGACATCCGCATTATAACGCCAAACCATTTCACCTATTGTTGTCTAATAAAATACAGAGTTGCTGCTACTCCCATTTTCCTTCGAATTTTATCATATCTAATCTGTTCTTTTATTATTATATTGAGCTCCCAGGTCTACCCAGCTTAAAATGGGGCCAATTCAAGATGAGTGAAGAAATAACTAAAATTTCTGGGCAACCACTAGCATCAATAGTTATAAGACAGAGTAGGTGGCGTCATACTGGAACCTTTTGAGAATAGATGAACTTAGTCACCAGACGGGCACTGAAATGGGAAATAGATGGACTGAGCGAATGATGACGTCCAAGAGACACCATAAGGCAAACTTAATTGAGAGAAGCAAAGGGTGGTGTGCTGGATTCAATCTGGACATTACAGCACAGGATACAGGAAACTGCAGAAATAGGTTGCAAGCCCTATGTGACATATCATCATGTAGCAGGTCCTTTGCAGAACGTTGCTCTCATCACTGTCTGCCTGAAAGAAACCCGGTCTCTCGCCAGCTCTCCCTCCTCATGTACTTTCATACTCAAGAAGTCACTTTTATCCTGTGCCCATCTTTATTTTGGTCAGCCCCTGCCCCTCCTTCCTGGTACCATGCCTTTTGCTGTTATCTTTTCCAGTCCGTTGTGGCGCTTGATATGACCAAAATATTTCAGCTTTCGAGATAGAATGCTGTTTATTAGCCAACCTTCCTTGATGTTCAGATCTTTCAAGACGTCAGTATTTCTCCTCTTCTTTGTCCAAGATATTCTGAGAATCTTTCTATAGCGTTTCAACTCAAAAGCCCCTATTCTCTTTCTTAAGGACTGAGAGATAGTCCATGACTCACATCCATATGTTGCCACAGGGAAGATACATGCTCTAAAAATTCTAATTTTGACATAAAATAACACAAAAGGACAATGAATGAATAACATTCCTGATATGCTAATGGCAGTAAAAAGGGTCATTCCATAGCAAGGATAATGACTGTGACAATACCAACATGATAGTGACTTTGTACTGCTTAACACTAAATGTGGCGAATAATAAATATATGAAATTGCTTTTTTTTCTCACCTGCAAGTAATATTTGCCCCTGCTCCAGGCATGCAGCATTAGGAATGCATAGTCAAGGTTCTGTTTCGATCTCCATCTGCAAATATCATTTATGACAATACTTCATTGGGAATATATATTCATTCATGTACACATACACAACTACGATTTCTATCTAGACTGCTTTTTCTGTTGCTGATGCCTACACAGTGAGACTGGCATTAATGTATATGTTTTTCTGTGCCGTCAACCCTCTCCAGAGGCTTTTCTTCTTCTTCTTCTACTTTTCCTTCATCTACTACTGTTACTACTACTGCTGATGCTGCTGTTGTTGCTGCTGCTTCTGCTACTGCTGTTACTGCTGCTACTACTACTACTGCTGTTACTACTGCTACTGCTGTTATTGCTGCTGCTGCTGCTACTACTACTACTACTGCTGCTGCTGCTGCTGCTACTACTACTACTACGACTACTGCTGTTACTGCTGCTGCTGCTTTTACTGCTATTGATGTTACTGCTGCTGCTTCTGCTGCTGCTACTACTGCTACTACTACTACTACTACTACTACTGCTGTTACTGCTGCTGCTTTTACTGCTGCTGATGTTACTGCTGCTGCTTCTGCTGCTGCTGCTACTACTACTGCAACTGCTGTTACTGCTACTGCTACTACTGCTGCTGCTACTGCTACAGCTGCTTCTGCTACTACTACTGCTGCTGCTGCTGCTACTACTACTACTACAGCTGCTGCTGCTGCTACTAATACAACTGCTACTGCTTTTACTGCTGATGCTACTACTACTACTGCTGCTGCTCTTACTACTGCTACTGCTACTACTACTGCTACTTCTACTACTACTACTATTATTACTACTACTTCTTTTTTCTTCTTCTTTTTCTCCTCCTCCTCCTTCACCCCTTTTATAACTGGCCCGGGGCTTCCTGCTGACACAGCTCAAAATGTGTACCAAGAAATCACCTGGAAATAACATGGAATCAGCCGAATGTCTTTCACTTAATCCAGCGAGTTTTCAAAGTCTATAAAAATGCTGCAATGACATGAACAGATTTATTACTTCATTTATTGTACAGATAAGCTTCTTACTTATTTTACAGCACTTACTTGACTCGCTCTCTATCGTCTCCTAATGTCAGCTTTAGACTGTCGAGATTTGGATAGAACTCAGCCCTGGGAACGATGATATCCAGCAGTCCTTGTGATATCTCTGTGGGAAATCTGTGAAATCGTACAAGAGGCTACAGTAAAATGTTTTACACTGTTCATGACTGCCCTTACCTCTGGTTGGCAGATGGTCTAGAACAGCGGTTCTCAACTTGTAGGTTGTTATCTTTTCTTTAGAGTCAATAAGGTAGGCTGGGAAAGGGATCAAGATAAACGGAAAACACAGATCTCTACAGTTCAGGTTTGTTCTATGGAATGGACCATGTTGCATGGAACAAATATAAGGGTTGGGGGGGGGGGGGGGGGGGAGCGATAAGGATAAGGAGAAAAATATTGCAGATAGGTTATAATGTGAGAGTATGAGAAGATGCAAGTTACATACATGCTATGACAATAATGCCAAGAAGTGCCAACATGAACAGTACAACACAACAAATGCAGTTCCTCGCCGTAGAAAGCGGCAGCTAAAACAGATCAGTAGGTGCACTGAGTGTGAAGTAAATCTGTGCACCACTTTACATTAGTGAAATCATTTTTTGATGATTGTTCAATGGTATCGAGCTCAGGCTACTTTAATTACATACGACCACATCTCGTCGGCTTTGAGATTTGTTAGGGAAATCCCCAGAACGTCTCATGGTATAGGATGCTGGGGTTAGGATTAGCAATAGTCGCTATTCATTTAACACAAGTTACCCCCCACCCCCTTAACATAATATGGTACTGTCCATGGAAACCCCCTAGGAATTCCCTACAAAATCTACACGAGATGTGGTCGTATAAAATAACAGTACCGTGGTTCAGACCTCTTTTAATTTTCGATGTGGTGGAGGTAGGGGGCTCAGGGGGCTTACAGTTAGTTGCATATCCTTTAGTTGTTATAAAGTGGCCCCCTAGGTTTACGCCACTCTAATATTCTAATTCACGGCGTAATGCATCAGTCCAAGTGCAATCAGTGGATATGAGCATTGCTGCGTGTCATAGATCGCAACACCAGACACATTAATTGGTAACAGTACCCATGTTGCACACATCAACGCTCCTATCTGATGCCTGTCCAAAACATCACACCCAAAGACTAGTGGTTTTCTACCTTTTTTGAAAACCCGACCCGCTGCCCCTCCCATCCCCCTATGTGTTTGAAACGAGGGGGGGGAGGGGGGGGGGAGGTACTAATAAGTACTTGGACAAGGACTTCCGCAAATCAAAGTGTCAAATAAGAACATTTTTTTAGTAAAACAGATTATTAGAAGTACAAATGCACTAAATTTCAACATTGATTGACGCCCTTTTGAAATTTCCGTGCAGCCTCCCCCCCCCCCCCCCCCCCCCCCCCCCCCACCCACCAGTTAAAGACCACTGGTGGGACCGGGGGGGGGGGGGGGGGGGTACAATTTAATATACTCTCTCTCTCTCTCTTTCTCTCTCTTGTTGTCTCTGTTTGTCTTGCTGTGTCTTCTTCTCCACTACTCATATAGAATGGGACCCCGTCCAACAAAGATTTTTATCTCGCCTGTAAACGCTTTTTATCTTCTTAGGCAGCAGTTCTCAAATTGTTTTCGCCACGGCACCCTTAAAGGGCAAAAAAAAAAAAAAAAAAAAATTCGCCACACACGACCCATAAAGTGGTTTTAATACTAATGAACATGGAGGGGGAGGGGCGAGAGAGGTGCACATTTAATGTTCAGTTGTCTTTAGTGGCTGAATGAAACTGTTTGGATGGGTTTTGCATTATTTTCTTTATGTATATGGAAACCAACCTCCCCGGTCGAAGGTCTTGGGGTCAAATACTTATCGTGAAGGATGTTTTCAAAAATGCCCTGTGACAGAACTAGATGGGACAGGGTTACAAATACCAGCATTAGAGTGAAAGCTGGAATAAAACCATGTCTGAATTATACTGGTAAAGTATCAGATGGTTCGGCCTTTTTAGTGAGAATGCAGCCAGACAAAACTACATTTTGAGATACTTTACAGTAAACCATCTGGAGGTTAAATGTTGAATATTGAATTAAGAATCGACATTACAGCACTCAGGGCACTCCCACAAGTGCTCATTCCCCATCTTTAGCAGCAGGCGAAGAGTTCCAATACCGATAGTACCAGTTACCGTCCGTCTCATTCTTCCCCTGAGTGTTGAGCGTCGGCCAGATCCTCTGGTAACTCTTTGCAGCGTCATTCTCCCCTGACTGTAAAATCTATCTGTGCCTCCGCACTGTTCACCCGCTCCCAAAGGGCCCTCTCAATATCTAAATTGGCATACATCAATTAACCACCAAGTGGTGCAGAACCAGTCAGTCCATCTGCCTGCTTAGAACATCTGGGAGGAATGTGAAGGGAAGACCAAAACAGAGATGGATAAATGGTGTGGCGGGAAGCTGAGAAAATATGAACAAATCCATCACCCAAGCCACACTAGAAGCCCAAGACAAATACCACGACAGCTTGTCTCAGTGAGACGACAGAAAACGAAAAAAAATAATGACTTGGCTTCCAGGTCGACCCAGCCTAAATGGGTACAAGTAATGTCCTGGGAAGTCAAGGGGTGTATTACTGATCACATCATCCACTGACTGCCAATTGGTCTCGTCTAGTTGCATATCTTGGGTGTGCTAATGAAGACGGTAGAAGGGTCCTTACGTTTTCTAACTCATCAGAATGTTAATAACAGACATAGCGGACTTGTTTACCTTGCTGCTAGTTGTGGCAATAGTTCGTTAATGTATGTTTCATTCCATGGCTGAAACATAAAAAGTTCACATATATATATATATATACACACACACATATACAGAATGTTTGTAAAGTCGGTGTTTTATAAATATCCTACCCCAAACATGGGAAATCCACAGGTCCCTGGACAGTCTAATATTTCAGGAGGTGGTAGACAGGCTGCATGCAGTCGTGGGACCTAGGCTGCATGCAGTCGTGGGACCTAGGCTGTACTCTTTCGTGGTTTGGGGTTAGGGCCAGTTCTATATGATTTGGGGTCTTTATAAGCATCAGACAGCCGGGAAACCCAGTCTTACCACCCTCTAAAATGTTGGACTGTCCTGTGACGTCATCTGGGTAAGATATTAATAAAGAAACTTACAGTCTCACAACACTTTGTATGTAAACAATTTGAAAAACCAAGTACATGGCGTCATCATAAATGTGCTCAACAGTAAGAGGTGAAGCAATATGCAGTAAATGGCTGTCATCTGCTGGAGTACTTTTCTGCATTCAAAACAGAATGGTGTTATAAAAGGGAGAATATATTTTTTTTTTTTTGGGGGGGGGGGGGGGGAGAGAGAGAAAAAAAAAGGGGGTGGGGCAGTTTTTGAAATAGTGGTTGATACACGTGGATAGTATTTAGCAATTTGAAGAGACATGCAGTAATTAAATGAAGCCTGTTGTGGGCATTTCCAAGACGTGTCTCGCACAATCAGTTTTTGTAATAGTACTTTCCAGATTCCACAGCTTTAGACTATAACAGTTAATATTGTAACTATTTTACAAACTTTTTAGCACACTGTTTGACGACTGCATTAATTGGTCAGTTTGATATCATAACATGGAAGATTATCTGTGCCAGAGCTCATTAAAAGTGCACGAGACAGAAGGTTGTGGATAGACATGACTACCAACGCCACACAGCACAGACTCGAAGAAGAAACAACAACTCACTTTTTATTCTGTTCCTTTTCAGAACCTTTGCATTTTTTATTGCTTTTGCACATCAAAGCAACACAGAGCTACAAAAAGACAAATCTAAAGCGCAGGCAATATGAAAACAAAAGAATTCAGGAGACAAATATGAGAAACAATGTCGTGAAAGGATAGGGAAAAATATTGTTTCTATTAGTTTTTTTTATAACAAAAATAAAATTAAATAATACGTTACCTCGGCAATACTCAGAATAAACAGGGTATCTTTCTTCTCGGCATTGTTCATGCCCTTGAAAAGCGATTCCAGTGTGTTGAGTACATAAATTCCCACAGGACGTCTAATGCTGGGTATTCCGATTACAATACTCACTGGGGATCGTTTTGAAACAATGTGATTTAATTACAAAGCGTTACAAATGCCACTTGCATAAGATCGATACCTTCCTTAACATGAATATAAGCAAGCACACAGTTATGCTGTAAAAAAATCTGATTGGTACGAGGTGCAAAAGGGGTTGAAGCAGGCGCGCATTCTCTCACCATAACTATTCAATATATACGCAGAAAATGTAATGAGAAATGTCAAAAATGACCAGACTTGTGACAGTTATGATCCGCTCAAAATTGGTGGCAGCCCTATTCCGGAACTTCGCTACGCAGATGGCAGTCTTTCTTTCGAACAGCGTAAAGGGAATAGAAAATTTAATATTGTCTGTCCAAAAGCACAGTAAAGATCAAAATCTGTTCTTGAATTTAAAGAAAACGATAATAATGTGCACATATAAATGTGGCTGTCACCCAAAAATAACAATAAATGATGAAAAAATTGAACTTTGAGTGTCTTGGCTCTATAATAAACAGCAATGGAGACTGTTCGACAGAAATTAAAAAGAGGATGGTCATAGCAATGCAAAGATTGAACAGCCTTAAAAGTCTGTGGTTAAGCACCAGCAAGGAGATAAAATTTTAATTTTGAGAGCATGCATCTTCCCTGGGGTTACATACGGATGTGAGTCGTGGACTATCTCTCAGTCCTTAAGAAAGAGAATATGGGCTTTTGAGCTGAAATGCTATAGAAAGATTCTCAGAATATCTTGGACAAAGAAGAGGAGAAATACTGACATCTTGAAAGATGTGAACATCAAGGAAGATTGGCTAATAAACAGCATCCTGCCTCGGAAGCTGAAATATTTTGGTCACATCAAGCGGCACGGATTGGAAAAAATTATAGCAGAAAACATGGTACTAGGAAGGAGGGGCAGAGGCCAACCGAAACGAAGATGGGCACAGTATATAAGTGACTCCTTGAGTATGAAAATACATGAGGCAGGAAACTGGCGAGAGACGAAGTTTCTTTCAGGTAGACTTTGATAAGAGCGACGTTCGGCAAAGGACCTGCTACATGATGATGATGATACAATTATGCAAGAAAAACGTTCGCGTTGTTGGTTAAAACAACTTTATATTGTGTTATTTTAGATAATGTGGTATTATACTTCCTGCTCCTCCCCCTCCTTCTTCTTATCATCATTGTCATCATCATCACTATCTTCTTATTGTTCTTCTTCTCCTTCTTTCTGTGTTTGTTAGTTTGTTTGTTTGTTTGTTTGTTTGTTTGTTTGTTTGTTTGTTTCTTTCTTTCTTTCTTTCTTTCTTTCTTTCTTTCTTTCTTTCTTTCTTTCTTTCTTCTTTCTTCCTTTCCTTTCTTTCTTTCTTTCTTTTTTCTTTTCTTTCTTTCTTTCTTTCTTTCTTTCTTTCTTTCTTTCTTTCTTTCTTTCTTTCTTTCTTTCTTTCTTTTTCACCCGTTCATACTTTCTTGCGTGTTAGTACTTGCTGCCGCTGCTACTTACTCACGAGTTTGATAAATCGCATTAAGAACAGTATCTCCGTTGATCTGCTTATCTTGTAAAAGCGCGTTTGTATTTTCTTCACTATGCGTCGCGCTGTCGCATCTTCTAATGCATCATACCAGCTATGGCAAGGAATTGTATTTATGTAATGAGATACCTAGTAGATTTTGATTGCTTTATTGGTGTGATACAAGCGAGTATATTCATGGTCTGCATCGAAACAATGTGACCAGATTTTCTGACGCAACCGAACGTAAAGTCACTACCAACAGATGTTTCTGATTTGAATGAAACTGAATTATGCACAAACAAGAAAGATAATATTACAGCTGAAATTTCACAAGTAGAATCCCCGTGTGGGTTCCGGAGCCCTATTATAAGTTATGTAAAGATCCGGTGTAAACAGCCACAATGGCGGTACGCTTTTTCGTCCGTTGAGGCGAATGGCGCAAATTAGCTATTTTCGCTCACGTATAATGTGAAAGTTTCATCGGAATGGGGTCTGAACCGTGCAATGGAGTACATGCACGTGAGTTTAGACTTCCCTCAGGGTGTATTCGACGTCCGATGGCGACTATTTACCAATTCAAAACAACCCGTAGGACGGACA